GGGACTCAGGGGCTTGAGGGTCCGGAGTTTCTAGGACGAACGTCAGGTCTTCAGTTCGGCTTTGGGCGCTTTGGGGTTCGAGGGCTTGGGGGTGTCCCTGGCTTAGAGATTTGGAGCCTTTAGCACTTTAGCCCCTAAACCTTATAAACCCCATGGCCCTATGGCATTTAGTGTTTCTACGATGTCGGGCCAATGCTGGTTCGGCTGATTTGGCTTAGGGCTGCTAGGATCAAGTTTTCGGCTTCTTAGTCCGGGGCTGCTCTAAACGATAGCCTTTTCTTGGGTTCTCCTGACACTTCGAGGTGTGTCGGAAGTGAAAGGGCCAGCAAACGGCGGTAGCCTCTCTGTTAGTTGTGCTTTTGATTTGGGGGGTTTGGGAGTTGATGGAGTTCAGGCTTTCGGGTTGAGAAGCTCTTGTATGTTACAATGTTAGTCAGAGGGACCTTCGTGGTGGCTTCCCTTGGCAGCTTGGTGTCCGAAGTTTCGAGCTCCGTTTTGGGCTGAAGAGATGCTCAACAACTCTGCACTTGCAACGTTTGTGAAGAGGAGCAGCCAGTCGGATGCCATGTTCAGGATTGTGACGGCAATCAACGGGATGGATGCCGTGTTTCCATTTTGGCGCTTGGTATGACAGGGTTCCCTCGAAGTGTAATCGGGCAGACTACCCTTCGAAGCCCCCGGCTCAAGCGTGAATTTTTGCTCGTCGTTGTAGGGGGTCAACGGCACCCCGGGTAGTTTAGGATAGCGCGCGCCGCATGGTCCTTGGAAATTTGTGGAAGATGTTGCTTGGCTCTTACTTTCTAGCTGCCTTGAGTCCATTGCGATGCCTTCAATTTACAACAAGATGCAGCAAATTGGGAGCACAGAAGCTGACTGCAAGACAAAAGGGGAGCCGACGATTTCACAACGACCAAACAATTTTCCAGGGGGACTGTGGATCAATGGAATCAGAGTGGACGTGGAGGGCCGAATTGCCCGTGGACCTGCGACAGACCCTGCCAAAACCGATCAGCCAAGCAAGCCTAGACACACAGTCATTGACTTGCTTGCAATGGATTGATATGTGTGCCGAAGCCACCGGAGGCAGGACTGCTCAATGGCTAGGGCTAGTGGACTCCACTCCCAGCACGACCATGACCAGTTGCAGCACACGGCAGTCAGTAGCGCGCAGCCAGTCAGATCTGGAGTGCCACTGGGCGAGTGGACTCCACACCAGGCGGGCTGTGCGGGGCGAGTGGACTCCGCTCCCATCAGGAGCTCGGCCTGCTCTTTACATCATATTGGTCAGCCCTGGTTGTGTTCAGGAGATTCACCTGGGCCGCTGATTTCAGCTGCCACGGCCGGCACAGTGACCCCACCGGCACATACAGCCTGGAACACCTGCCTTGCTAAGGTCACGGATTACCGTCACAGCGATTCAGTGCCTCACACCACCTGTGGAATCCTGAGCAACCACTCAACTTTAGGCGTGGTGCACCTTACCTCTCGGCAGGCGCAAGGGCGAGTGGCCTCCACTCCTGGTCCGCCACTGAACCCACCTTAGCTGTACAGGATCAGTCACAGCTACTCATCTGACAGGTCAGTGTACATCCCGGGGGCCGTGGCCTCCACCCCCCGAAGGTGCGTCAGTCAACACAAGCTAGGTCAAGGCAAACAGCTACCCCGAACAGGAGCCGCTACTCGCGGAGATGAGTTCTGTGTTCCGACCTTTAGTAGTCAGCCCTACCCTGCAGCTCCACTGCATGTCTTGCCAGCTCAGGCCTACAAGCCAAGGATACGAAACACAGGGAGTCAACACGTGGGCCCGCATCTCAGCAGTTGTGTGTTGTGCACACTAGAATCCGCTGCACAATTGCATCCCGGAGCCCTGGTTGGTTGCACCCACCTTCCCTTGGGTCTGCACTGGGTGTGGATCAAGTCAGCCGGGTTACTTGGTTGTTCGGTAGACAGCTCCTGTGCAACTGCAGACATGGATCGCAGAACTCAGCCAGGCACGCCGATCAACCTGCCGTTGCGAGGGAGCAGCCAGTATCAGCCAGACGGGGGTCAGCGGTCTCCGCGTCCCCGGAGCCGACGGAGCCACAGATGCAAGGTGAAGGACCGAGACCAGGGCCGAGACCAGGCACTCCCATCAGATTGCCAGTCAAACGAGGCTTGCCGACCTCGCCGACATCGGGGGCAACCGCCGCTGCTATGCAGCAGCACCTGCCGGCTTCATCGCTGGAGGAGAATGATGCTGCCCCGATGAGTGTCCTGTGGTCACCAGAAAGCCGTGGATACAGCGAGATTGAAGGAGCGTCCAGCATTGATTCGGACATCACCCTGGGGGAGTCCAGCACAGAAGCAGTGGATGCCCCATCAACGGAGACCGCACCTCTTTTAGGAGAAGTGGGGACACAGGCAAGCAGGGCCATCAAGGATGAGGGCAAGCGGTCTCCGNNAGACGTGTAGCAAAAATGCTAGTCAGGTCCGGACTGCGTTGTCACTGTTGCTTCAAGCTGAAGCACGAATGAGAGAGACAAAATCAGGCTGATGCTTCACCGCAGCCAAAGCCATGCCACTTGCAATTTATTAAGCACCTGCCACCCCCAGCTTGTTCCTATCTCTCGACCCCATGTACACCAAGGTTCTGTCGAGAGTCGGCCACGAAGGCTTGGACCTGAGGAGCAGACTTCTTGCACTGTGTTGCACTGTGGGACCCCTCAGATCAGCCAACGCACCTCCTGCACTGTCTCAGCTGCATTGGCCGTTTGGTCACAAAGCTGGATCAGGCCCTTGCCCCCTGTGCAAAAAGCCCCCTTTCCTGCTCCGGTGATTGCAGCCATGCCGGCGCAGAGCACAGCGGCAGACAAGCCTGAGGAGAGCTGCTCGGACGATCAACCCCTCATCTCGCTGGTGTCACGAACGAGAAAAACAAGCAAGTGCGATGACACCGTGGTGCCCAAGGCTAAGAAGCCCAAGCCAGCAGGTGGCGGGTGCGAGACAACATCCTCTGAGAGCACGTCTACTGGGTCTGTGGTCTCCACACCCAAGGAGCAGAATCCTCTTAAGAGTGCGGCAGTGCGTGAAGCGTTTGCCAGGCTTGTCGTGGCACGTCTCCAGGGACGCCCAGATCCTTTCTAGCAGGTGTGCGGTCTCCGCCCTGCGTATTTTTGAGGCTGTGAACACGCTGCAGAACAAAAGCCTCGCTAAGATGCCTGCTGTTAACAAATTGACCTGCCAGAGTTGCCCACACACTTCTTTTGCATCAGCATCCAGCTTGTCCCTTCATGCTCAGGCCCGGCCAGCCGCTGTAGATCACCGACCAGGAGGGAGAGTGGCCTCCACGCCCGGCCTGAGACTAAGAGTGCAGCCAGGGATAGGCAGCCAAGAGAGTCATGCACGACAGCGTTTGTACGAAGCTCTGCAGCATTCGGCACGGAAGGGTCCCCACAGCCTGCCACAACGCTACCCAGGCAACCACCCACCTCACAAGGAAATCACCCCCCGGCAGTCAAAACCGAAAAGTACATACGAATGTCAGGGTCAACATAAGAAGGGGCACATTCACATCATGGTTCCTAGCCCGGCCTCCAAGAGGAAGTCATCCCGCAGGCTGCCGTCGTATCTCCGAAACAGTGGAGGGGAGCCGGTGGGAGAGCTACGAAGGCTGAGGGAGGAGGCGCGAGAAGCAGCCCAGGCCAGAGATGAGCGATTGGGGGAGCAATCATCCTCGTCGAGGGGGCCACAGCGGCTCGAAACACCCAGCAAAGGCAAATGCCAACGGTCGCAGGATGAACCAGGCCAGGCAAGGAGCAGGGCCAGAGCTCCGGAACCCATGGAGCCAGAGCAGACGGTGGTAGTAGAAGTGGAATCCTCGGGGACCACTGCAAGTGTGGGGTTCCGGTCTGCGGACTCCGCACCGGAACCCCACACACTACCACCCAAGAGGGAACGACTCATCTCGCATGCCCTCTCCAAGATCCTTCGCCATGAGGCACACAACTATGATCTGCCGATGGACACTGCAGGCTTTATCCCTGTGATAGATCTTATCACGGTACCTCTGGAATCACCAGGTGACACCGGAAGAGATCAAACAGGCGGTCCGGGTCAACCGGAAGAGCCGCTTTCAGATCCAGACCATCGATGGAGCTGACCGGGTACGTGCCGTACAAGGCCACAGCCGACAACTGGCTCAACATTACGGTCTCAAGGATTCGGCTATGTTGCAGGCCCTCACGGCCCCAAGTGCCCCGATGACCGCGGTTCACGGCACGACGCTAAGTAGCTATGCGAGCATCCGTGCGGAAGGACTTCACAGAGGACAGCGGCAACATGTGCATTTCATCACTGGCGAGGCGGCTGCCAAGGCGCAAAAACACCCACGAGAGACATTGGGTGGACGTACACAAATGCCTCAGGCGAGGCATTCAGTTCTACAAGGCACCCAACGAGGTATTGCTCTCGCCTGGGCAGGATGGCTGGATCCCGACATCGTTCATCTACCAGGTGCAGGTAGCCAGAAATGGCCGGACGGTAGAGCCAACCACAGGTCAGCATCTTCCTTCGGTAGGGGAGGTCCGGGAAGCACTTCGGGCCACAACCGGCAAGCGGTCTCCGCGCCGAGGCAAAACAGGGCGCGGAAGCATCAGAGCCGACCCTGCCCATGCGCATGTGTAGGTAATCGACCTGCGCGAGAGTGTAAGATAGTCCTCGCTGATGGCGTCTTGGTAGGAGCCACACAACTTGTGCCAATGCTTGCTGTGTGTATCATGCTCATGCACCAACTGGCTCTGCTCAGGTCCACCGTCACTTCGCCGATCATGCACAGACAGAAAGACCGGATATATGCCCATGCTTGCGCCCAACAAGGATGTTGCATTGAAGCACAGTGTCATGCAGAATCGTGGCATACCTCTATGCAGGTGCTCTCCCACTCCTCGTCAGAGCAAGGCTGCCCGCAGCCCCGAAAAACACCTTGACATGCCAACTCAAACACACGCCCCTACTTTCGCCCCTAAACCCAGCCCATGTGCTTTACCAAACTGCCAAAACTCCCATGCCTCACAGCTCATCATGTACCACCAAGCTATAGACCCCGACCACATCGGTGACCCATGCAGTGTCTCTCCCATGCCAATTCCTAGCTCACAACTTCGCTCCTCGCGACGATTGCCGTCGCGCCTGCGAGACGCGGGGGCTCCGGCCACAGGCAGCATACTCCAGCTCCGTGAATAAGCCACGGCAGATTGAGCAGGCACAGCAGGAGCAGCCGGACCCGCAGACACAAGCACAGGAGCCGTGGTGGTCTGGTCATTACGGTGATACATCCTGGTACTCCAGCGGTACTGGGATGACTGGGGTTCGTGGTCTCCACACCCGATAAATACAGCTGCCGAAGCCTCAACCTCTGAGGCTCCTGCAGCCTCTCAGGCCCAAGCGAATGCTGGTGGACAGGCGACACAAGCTGTGGAGACTGGGGAATGGCATGTGCAGCAGGCCAGGAGACTTCTTGCATCCATGGAGCCGGGAGATGCGAACATTGTTATGGACGTCGTCGCTGCCGCTGATGGATGGGAGGAGCCCACCGGGCTACCCCTCTACCAGGTACGCCCCAGCGAAGAGACGGAGATGCCCCTGGACGTGACGCCACAAACCCCCACGAAGCAGGAGAAGCCGTGGCCACAGCCCGGGCAGGAGCTTGCGGTCTCCGCGTCCTGCTGGAGCAGACCGAACAGGAGCACATCATCTGGTCGACTACGTCTCTGATCCTCCTCCCCACGATCCAGAACCGTTTGAATACTACTCAACTGCCAGAGCTGTTCAGACTGCTGGCATCGCTTCAAGATCTGAGGGCTGGAGCTCACATTGAATCTGCCAGGGTGGCACAGCACTATGTGGCTCTCCACGGGGTTTTTCATGATGCCCCCGAGATTGCAGTGGGGAACTGGGTGTTGTCATTGGCGGCCGAGCTCATCTCCCCTGGAATGTGCCATCATTTCAGAGCGGATGACACGATGGGAAGTTTTGTGGAAGCCTGGATTGCACAATTGCGACAAGCGCAGGCCAGTCCCACAGCTAGAATCACGGGCATGCGGACGCACTTCCTGCGATTATGCCAGCTATACTCCACGACATTGTGGCACCCCTGCAGCAGGTTCGGCAACTGTACGGTTACATGAACTGGCGGCGAGGAAAAATACATAACCTGCGGTTTCTTCTCACAATGGCTAATTGGAATCCAACGGAGCCGGCCACGCCATTGGTATTTGCAGAAAGGGTTGCTCACCTCGAGGAAGACGCCAGATGTGATCCTGGCCTGGACAGCCCACGGAATGCCAAGGTCGAGAAGACATCAGTTCTGGAAGGGAGGCTTTTGGCCATCGCGGATGATGGGCACTCTCAATGGATTGTGGGCTCCACTCCATTTGATGAGTCAGGCACAGCGCTGCAAGCCCGAGACCCCGTGGTGCCAGAGGTTGAAAAAAGAAGTAGATTGAGTAGCTACTCTAGCACCCTGTGCCCATCGCTCCCTACACATACCACAGCACATGATCCAAAGTGCGAATGCATAGGCAAGCGCAGACGACGATGGCGAATTCGCCAAAACCATCCTCGGCGCAAGCCCTACAAAAGACCCACAGGTCTGCGGAGGTGGAGTTTAAAGAAGGAACTTTGCAGGGAGCTGCGCCGATGCTCAGGCGCTTACCGGCAGTACCTCCAATCTGCAAGTTCCCTAGTAGACCTACCAGTCCATACAGTCACTCCTAAGCATGCACCCGAGGTCACGACGACGAGCAACGCACGCAACCAGTGCGGCTGGCCCGGTCCCAAGTCCGGGCTCCGTCTGCTGCTATTCTTTTTACAAAGCATCACTCCGACGGGGGGGGTGAGGGTTCCTGTCCCGGCAGGGCCAGGCGGCACCACAGCGCCGGTGAGCAGAGCCGTACGTGTCATGGAGGCTACAGGCTTTAAGAGAAGCTTCAGAAGAGCACAGAGACGATGCGCACAAAATCAGCAAAACCATACTATTTACAAAGGCAAGCAAACGCCTGGCAGCCAGTTGGGACTCCACTCTGCCGGATCCGATCCCATGTCCACGGGACCCCGTCGTCGACCTGCATGTCGACGCAGAGGAGGGCAGGCCCAAAGGCTAAAAATACGCTCAGTAAACGTGAATAGCCTTGGAGGTTTCTTATGGAGCGAGGTTAAAATTTTCCTGAGTGGCGAGGGTCTCAAGTATGATTTTGTTTTCCTTCAGGAAACACATCGCACAGCCTCCAGCGCCTTTCAGATTGACCGCTGGATGACGGTCGGTTCGGCCACCAAGAGGGGAGAAGGAGTTCTCACGCTGGTTAATCCGAAATATGATGCCTCCACAGTCCGATACCAAGAGATCGTACCCGGCAGAGTCCTCAGAGTCAAAGTTTGTCGGGAGGACACAGCGATAGAGACCCTCAACATATATCAACATGTTTGGGTTCACACAGATGAGCCGGAGCAAAACCAACATCGAAGACAGCAACTGCTGGACAAATGCACTGCTGCCGTCCAGGGAATGGCAACGTCGTGACACGCTCATTATTGCGGAGGACTTCAATTCTGAGATGCAGCACACGCCACGACTAATTGGACATAGTCTGCACTGCTCTGAATATCATAAAGCCCTTGACCCACACACCCTCACCAGAGTTGTCCAACACAACGAACTTGTGGTTTTAAACGCCTGGCACATGAAGGACCCATGTACGAATTACACCCGCACGGGTAACTCTCAGATAGACTTCATCACGGTTCGTGTTCTGAGTGCAGATCCGTTTTCGAAACAGGTGATCAAGCAAGCTGCACCCTTTGGGGCCTGGAAGGAGATGACGCACCAGGCACTCATCGCGAATATTCGAGTCATTAGATACTTCCACCTTCCTCGGCCTGCTCAGCAGCTAAATGCCAGCTATGCGGTCAAGGAGCTCGACCACGCTTATAGGCGCAATGACCCGAAAATTCAGGTACTCCAGAATCAAATCCAGCAACGCCTGGCCAGTATCGAGACACCCACTGCGGAACTACTAAATCAAGTGCTGCATGGCGAGAGAAGCTCACGCTACCAGACGGGGAGGGGGGGGGCGTCACATCCCTACCAACTCAGGTCTATCATATGTGGCAACGACGCAAAGATCTCCTTAAGAGCAGGCTCTATGATGCCTCAGGCATCATTCGGGCATGGAAATGGCTGGTTCTCTACATCAAAGCTGGTCGCCAAAGCAAGCAGTATCACGCGCAGGACCAGCGGGCTATTACTCTTGGAAATCTGCAGCTCGCTGAAAGGGCTGCTCAGCAACGCAACACTAAAAGACTCTTTGGAGTTGTAAAGCGCATGATGCCCTGGAAGCCTCGACCACGAATCATGCTGAGACACCCTGATGGCACACCCATGTCCCTATTACAGGAGCATAAAGCGCTGGTTCAGCACTGCCAACAGCTCTTCGCTCTCAAGGTTGAGCCCCCTAGCAGACCCGGTACCGAACTGACGCTTCCAGCCACA